GAGCCCAGGAGTTTGAGGTTGCTGTGAGCTAGGCTGACGCCACGGCACTCACTCTAGCCCAGGCAACAAAGTGAGACTCTGTTTCAAAAAAAAAAAAAATGGATTTCTTGCTTCTTTTAAAAAGCTAGATTTGGCAAGATGGGGCCTGTACACCACACCTTGCCAGATCTAGCTTCTTAAAAGAAGCAAGAAATCCATTTTTTAAATGTAAAATAGTCTTATTTTAAAAATTCGGCAACACTGGGTGAGCCAAAGAAAATGCATTCATGTACTCCGTTTGCACCATGAGCCTTCAGTTTGCAATGTCTTGAACAAAAAATACACAATCCTTCCCCTTTGCATGTGATTCCAGGGAGAATTTTCCTGACAGATGTAACTAAACAGCACAACCATACCAGAACTTACTCATTGGAAGTAGCCATTTTTCAAAAGACAGAGTTCTACATAGTGAGCTGCATAGGCTGCCTGGCTTACTTTTTCATGCTCCCGTCTCCTGCACCTGATGTCCAGCCATTGGTTCCAGGGCTCATCTGGCACTGGACAGGCCATGGAAAATAAGCAGGGATTATTCTTTTGAATTAAAATAAGTTCTGCCATCACTTAAAGCAGTTTTGGAGGATGTTTTAAAGATGATTTGGGGGACAGAATAAAAACCACTTGTAACAATCAGTGTTACTATTTTCACTCTCATTTTACTTTTTATAAAAATGCTATCATAGGACAATCTGCAGTCTGTAATTACATGCCAAAATGTCACAGTGTTGGGCTCCAGATGATTTCTGGAAAATATATTGCCTAATGCATTTTTTAAATGTGCTACAAAATAGAACATTGGGATAACCTCACTATTAGTAAAACCTAGCACGGACTTGGAAGACAATTCCTATAAAGACATACAGAACATTTAGAGCATTGTAAAACAACCACTGAAGCAATTATTTTATAAGGGTAAGCATTTATTTGACAAACCTTTATTAAATGTTCACTCCATATAGGGTACAGTGGACTAGCTGCTGGAGATGTGAACTGGAGATTTCATAAATTTCAATGCATTTATTATTATTATTCATTGGTAGTATTGCACAAGCTTAACTGTTTTGTTGGATTTGATTTATTTTATGTCAATCTAAATAACAGAGAGATGCTCTCTAAAAGAAAATAATATTCATTCAGGAATAGGGTATTGCAACGGGAAGACATGTACCCTAGTAAACTATGTGCATATTCAGGGAGGTAAAGGAAAGCAAAGGTTTATAAACGAAAAATGGGGAGGATTGCATGATATTTTTGAGAGAATTATCCTTGACTATCAGAATCACTAACAAAGGTGACACCAGTGTGAGGTTGGACAGGCAGTTGTGGGCAAATATCCTCACAGTGGTATTTTTCTGGGTCAGGATGCAGTAGCTGTTGTGCAAGATTGTGGTTTTTGCTCAGTCTTTTGTGACAGTTTTTGTTATTGGGCATTTATACATGAGATCCTCTCTTTATGGCGTTCCCTTGCTCTATTTGTCCAGTCTTTCTTTTGTTAAAAACACAAGTGACTCCCTATTCTGACAACTTGCACATTATTTAACACCCAGTTATTTACTCTCTGCCAGGAACAGTTCTAAGCATTTTATAAATATTAACTTATTTGATCCTCTAAACAATCTAGCAAGATAGATAATACTATGGTCCCCAACACATGCATGTCCCCATCTATAAAGATGAGGAAACTGAGGCACAGAGGTTAAGTGACCTACCCAACATCATACTGCTAGTTAAGTGGCAGGGTCACAATTCGAACCCAGGCAGGTCTGGCTCCAATACCTGTGCTCCTATCCACACATCAATTAGTTCTTGCTATAAAACAACTCTCAAATCTGATGGCATATAACATCAGCTACTTACTATTTTTCATGAGTTATCTGCTCAGCTGGGCAGTTTTAGACCAGGCTCAGCTCATCTTAGCTAGGATCATTCATGTGTATGTGCTCAGCTGGAACTGGCTGGTCTAGGATGTCCTTGGCCAAGATGACTCAACTCTCCTCCACAAAGTCTCTCATCCTCCATTGCTAGAGCAGGGGTCTAGAAAGAGTGGAAAAATTCACAAGTGCATCAAGTTG